ATATGAACTTCTAAGTTCTTTTGAGGAAATTCAGTATATACCATAAATCAAGAGAGTTAATTTAGCAAAAAGCAACAAGCAAAAAGAAGCATGGAACCAAGAATCTGGTAGATTTGCAACAAAGATTCCATTCAGGTTCATTCATTTACTGAAAGCTAAACCAATGGACTGGAGAAAGCAGGTCAGGATTGTAGATAGTTTTCATTCCTACCATGAATGTTGACTGCTTTCAGTCCCACCATGGATACTCTTTGCATGGGAGAAAATGACCATTTTCTCAGAGGAGAAGTTTGCACAGGGACCTTCAGACCCCAGGTACTTAAGCAGTTGGGGCTGTTGCCATCAGCTCTGTGCCCTGGAGGGGCCCCCATGCACAGCTGCCGAGCAACGCCCCCCTCCCCCGGGGAGGGTAGCAGGGAAAGCAGGCCAGCACACCAGCCAGCCTCTGTTCGGGCTCCCTCAGCGGGGGACAGGGGGGTGGTGGTGCAGAGGTCAGTTGCCCTCAGAGCCAGCTGGCCACCTCCCACATGCAAGCCCAGCAAGTCAGGCCCAACTGCCCGGTTTCCGTTCTCTGTGGCTCCATGGTCCCTGGTGCAACTTCTGGTGGAAGCAAATGCAGCCGGCACAAACAGCCCCTCAATCCTGTCCTTGGCATGCAAGTGTCAAAATTCAGTTGAAGAAGTAAAAGGCAAACCTTACCTCAGCTCCTGCTAGAGAAGTTGTTTGAGCTCAAAGAAACCGAAGGGAGAGCGTGTCTCCACTGCTCTGATTTCCTCACACATTTCTGCTGTCTGCAGGAAAGATCCACCAAACGCCTCCCCAGCCCCGGGGAAAAAAAAAGCTCTTCAAGACATCTGTCAACTCATTTCTGGAAAGTGAGCTTCCACACTGGGAATTCTAAAAAGTGTGTGTTGGGCGGGGGGTGAGGGATGTCCAGAGCACTGGGTTTAGCAACATCCTTCATGGTGACTTGAGGCTGGCTGGGTAGGCCGGCAACAGGGGCCTGAGGCATCCTTAGGCTCAATTCACAGCCACCTAGAACAGTGGTTCCTCACCTTACTGATGCCCCGGACCCCTCTGCCAGGCTGCTGAAGCCTGTGGCCACTTCTCAGAGCAGCCTTTACAATGCATAAAATAAAATAGATGAGATTATAAAGGAAACCAATTGGACTGAGATACAGTTATCAAAATAATAAACAATATAAAATTAATAGAAGTATTTCCTTACGGACACATTAAACAACACAATGTAGTGGCAGTTCTAAAAACTACCTTCATTTCAAAGCAGGGATGAGTATTCATGACATTTCTAGACATCCGTAAAGTGATGTAAAAGTAAAGGATCTCTTTTGGTGACACCAACCCAGGTGGTGCTTTGTTGCCTACGGTCATAATGGCAAGGAACACGGCATTTCAGCGAGAGGCTAATGAAAAGAAAAATGCAACATTTTACCTCATTCAGGTGTACAGACCTGCCTGTAGGCCCCAGGACTCCTAGATTAAGAAGACATTTCTTTTCCTGAGCTTTTGGGAGAGAGCAGTGCACTGGAGACCAGGGTGCCAGGCCCCAATCTGGGGGCCTCTAATCAGCTGGGAGCCTCAAACTTTTAACCAGTAAGTTGGAGATCGTGCATCTCTTGCCTACTTCTCCACCTTCAGTGTCTTCCTGCAAAGGCTGGTGCTGGGTGGGGGTGTCCTCTGGAGTTGCAAGTACTCTGTGTCTACTCTTATTACTGGTTTTCTCATCTGTGGTGTAATGACCTGCTTGGCCCATCTGTCCCCACCTCTTGCACAAGGCAGCAATAATGGCTCATTTATCATTATGTTCTTGCTGTCAAGCACAAGGCTTGGCACACAGGAGACCATTCCTATATATTTACTGACTAAACAGATGAATGGACGGATGAAGGCTGTGACCACACCTAGTTTCTCTCTCTCGTTATAAAAATATTCCTTATTTTACACCAGCAGTTTCTCAACCCTAGTTATATAAGTGAGCATTGCTTTACGAGGTTTTAGAAACTACTGAGACCCCAGATGCAACCCCAGAGACTCAGATGCCTGTGGTCTAGGGCGGGGCCCTGGCCTTTGTCTGTTTTTAAAACCACCCCAGGTACAGCCAGAGTTGAGACCCCCACGGTAGCACAGAACAGTAGCTGAAGTCAGAGTGCAGTGCTCCCAGATGAACTTCTTTTCTAGAGCCAGCAAGATGAAATTAGTGCAGAATTCTGAACTCTGCGAGGGCCTAACACATAAATTGAGTTTCTGACCCTCAGAGTCAGGTCACAGTTCTGAATCCAGCAACATCAGTAATATCTGAACTACATTCTCAGGCTTAGATGAAAAATCTGGGGCTTGACAGTGAAGACCATGAAACAAATTATTGCAAACGCCACGGACAAGCACTCTGAGGCCCCACGCTCCCTCCCCTTGTGGCAAGAAGTCCTTATGAATAGGGCCCATCCTGGTTAAGCAGCACGCCTTCTGGGGGACAGATCCCTGGCTGGGTGGTTTCCTAATCTACAAAGTCGGGAGGATAATAATAATAATAAGGCCAACCTCAAGGTATTGTTGCAGGAACTGAAAGATGGTATGGGGCAGAAAACATTCTGTAAGTAGCTCATACATGCTATCAAGATTAATTCTTTACTATTGGTATTAGTATTTAGTTATGGTCACTTCACTTTACTGTGTTTTTCAGATACTGTGTTTTTTATGAAGTGAAGGTTTGTGTCAACCCTGTGCTGGGCAAGTCTGTTGGTGCCATTTTTCTAACAGTATTTGCTCGCTTCATGTGTATGTGTGTGTCACATACTGGTAATTCTCACAGTATTTCTAACTTTCTCATGATTATTATTATTATATTTGAATTGCTGCAATCTCATGATAAAACTTTAATGGATTAGAAGCTGCTTCTTATGAGTGAGCAAAAAAAGTGGCTTCTTGAGATGGAAACTCCTGGTCAAGATGCTGTGAAGACTGTTGAAATGACAACAAAGCATTTAGAATATTACATAGACTGAGTTAATAAAGCAGTGGCAGGGTTTGAGAGGATTGATTCCGATTTTGAAAGAAGTCCTCCTCTGGGTAAATGCTATCAAACAGCATCACATGCTATAGAGAAATCTTTCTTGAAAGGAGGAGTTGATCGATGCAGCAAACTTCACTGTGGCTTTATTTTAGAAATCGGCACAGTCACCCCAGCCTTCGGTAACTGCCACCCTGATCAGTCAGCAGCCACCATGTCGAGGCAGGACCCTCCACCAGCAAAAAGAATATGACCCACTGAAAGCTTAGATGATGATTAGCATTTTTTAGCAATAATGTGTTTTTTAATTAAGGTATAAATGTTTTTTAGACATAATGTTACTGCACACTTAATCGACAACAGTATAGCGTAAACGTAACTTTTATATGCACAGGGAAACCAAGAAACTCATCTGACTTGCTTTACTGCGGTATTCTGGAACAGAACCTGCAATATCTCCGAGATGTGCCTCTACCACATTCTACCAATTGAGTTCTTCCAGGTGGAAAGACCTTGTGGATTACGGATGCCAGGTCAGACTGCCCGCATTCAAGGTCTGGCTCCACTTACCCACTGAGCCATCTTATGCAAATCACCTAACCTTATCATGCCTTATCTGTAATAAAGGTATGTACCTCGTTGGGTTTTTGGAAGGTTTGGCTAAGTGAGGTAAAACACTTAAAGCACCTAGAACATCTTCCAAAACTTAAGCTTTTCATCAGAATCACCTGGAGGGCTTGTTAAAACACTGATTGCTGGGTCCCTCTCAAGAGCTTTTGATGCAGTAGATCTAGGCTGGGAACGGAGAATGTACACATCTAATACGCTCCTAGGGACCCATGGCATTGCTGGCCTGGGAACCACATTTTGAGAACCACTGGCTGAGAACCAAGCCTGGCATACAGTAAGCACCAACTCAGTGTTAGCTGCTATTATCTTTTCCTGGGCTCTACTTTCTTAACCGCTGAGCAAAACCCTGCGTGCTCCAATGCCACTCGGTACTGCCTTCCTGTAGAAGTCAGTTCGAATTCTATCTGTGGAGGTTCCCAAAGTGTGGACCCGAGATAAGCTGCACCAGCACCACATGGGAGCTTACTTATAATGGGTCTTGGGCCCCAACCCACATCTAGTGAATTGGGATTTACGGGGGTGAGGCACAATATCGTGGGCTCTAACATCCTTCTGGGTGACTCTACTACATACCGACTCTCAGAACTCCTGCTCTAGTAGAAAATCACCAGGACCACTGCAACAAGCCTCCTGAAAATGGCCAGGGAGGCAGGACAGCTTAAGGTCCAGAGTATAGGTTTTGGTTGAGTTGGAGACCTGGCTCAGCTTCTTTGCCACCTTGGGGCCATGAGTTATGACACTCATTTAAGCCTCAGTTTCCCCTGCTGTAAAATGGGTACCATTATAGGACCTACCTCACAGGAACCTCAGATGCTGCAAATGACGCATGATAAGTGTTCAGGGAATGTTAGTTGCCACTCTTACCCTCTTTATCATTGCTGTGATGTGTCCTATCTCAAAGTGATTTGAGACAGCTTATTAAAAAAAGACATAAACATATAGGTGCACAGGATAGCTAAAATAAAGCCCTTTTTTAAGAAAAGGAAATAAAATGTATCACACAGAAAGTGGGGAGCATGAGGGTTGAAAATGTCACTGCAATTGTCTGAGCATGAGGTTTGAAAGTCCCCGAAGGCCAGAGCAGAGGGGAAATGCAGAGGTCCTACAGTCTACGGTTTCCACTGCCTTCAAAGGGGAAGGAGGCTGGCTCTTTTTCATCCCTCTGCCACCCCACCTCTAAATCTAGGAGAATCTGATCCCATAAACCTCTGCACCAAGGCCCTGTGTACCAAGAAGGGAATTTCCTCTAGCTCGCTTGATGTACCTGTTTCTTTAATTAATTCTCATCAAGAGCCACAGGTAAAATCCTTAGATCTCAGAAGATGAGAGATGTCACACTCACTTTGGGTGCCGAATATCAGGGACAGAACGATTCAGGGAGATTTTATCACTGACGTAAATGTTAAATCCATTTTCTCGGTACGCCTGATCCACTCTCTCAGCGTCAGTCATGGGGTAAGGTCTCCCTTGTTCTCCATTTCCTAGGAGCAAAGAGCAAAGTCAATGTTGCTAATTGAATGGAGTGGGGGAAGGGGGATGAAAGATCTGATTAAAGCACAGAGATCAAACTTTATACGTGGATACAGAGTAGACCTCCAGATTTTGCAGGGGGAGCCTAAAGAGGGGAGGGGAATGAGCATTTTTTCGGCCATGCCCATGTCACACACTTTACAGACCGGCTCTCATGTCATTCCCACAGCAAGCCATCAGGGTGGACATGCAAGCCTTCATTCTATGGGTAGATAAACTGGGACTCAAGAAGGTTATAAGAGCAGGTTTGTGGGCTCTAAAGTCCATGCTTCCCCTACTCTGCCAGGGGCCCGAGACATCCCTGACCATGGCATCCCATCAGCTGGACAGGAGACCAGATCTACTTCATATGAGCTGATCAACCTTGGGCCAGTCACACCAACTCTCTGAACGGATGGAAGTAGGCACAGCCCTTGGCCCCACCTGTCAGCGTGCAGCTTCCCATCAAGCTGATGTTGTCAACATGTACTTTGCAAAGTATATAGGGTGTTGCTCAGGAAGATGAGGTGATTTTTAACAAGCTGATTTTATGGCCATTTCTTCAAGACTCTCTCCAGTTGCAGATTACTACATCCAACCAGCCAGATGAGAGAGAGGACGCTGCCATCTGTAACTCGGAAGGCTCCACGATAAGACGCTGCTGGCTCATGCCCAGGACAGATTCCACAAGGGACACAAATGCAGCCGGCAGAAACAGGAGAGCCAGAAGCATCTGCACGGGGAGGGAAGTTTCAGGAAGGCAGTACAGGGGAGTGACTCAGAGTTCAGGCCCTAGAGTGTGGCAGAGTGCAGCTTGAAGCCCAAACCTGCACTCGCTGCTTTGTGTTATCCTGGACATGCCATTAGCCTTTCTGTGATTGGGCTTTGCCCTACGTATTAATGGGGAAAAGAAGGTTCAATGTAATGATTAAGGAGATAATGCAGGGCAAAATGCCTGGTACAGAGTTAGCACTCCACGCAAGCTGATTCTTCTTCTTTTTTTTTTTTTTAATTTTTTTTTTAAAGATTTTATTTATTTATTTGAGACAGAGAGAATGAGATAGAGCATGAGAGGGAGGAGGGTCAGAGGGAGAAGCAGACTCCTTGCCGAGCAGGGAGCCCGATGCGGGACTCAATCCCGGGACTCCAGGATCATGACCTGAGCCGAAGGCAGTCGCTTAACCGACTGAGCCACCCAGGCGCCCTTGATTATTATTATTCTTAATAATGTCTCCACTGCTTACTCTTTTTCTTGCTAGTTAGCTCCATGTTCTAATAATTCTGGTAATGATAACTGCCTGGAAAATCAGCTTTTTTCAACTGTTTCCTTTCTCAGTTTAAGCAGCACCCACCCCTACTTCATTTTCAATCACTGTCCTACAGAAAAATGCATGTCATGTTTTTAGACTTCCCTGACCATTGGTTATTATATCAGCTCTATTAGAGCCCTGTTGCAGTCTGGTTTTTTCATAATGTAATCTAAAAAAAAAATCAATAGTGGTGGGTGCTTTTAACTGAGATAAAAATGAATAAAATACCAATCCCTATATTTCTACGGTGCTTTCCAGTATTGTAAAGTTGCTTCATACCCATCACTTTATTTGTGTCACCTTCACAACAACACCCTGAGGTTGTCTGAGCAGGAAGCATGAGCCCCACAGACACATGGGGAAACCGAGGCTCCAGGAGCATGGGATCTCTCTGATGGTCACGTGGTTGGTCAGCGGTGCCAGAGCTGCCGTCCTGACTCCTAGTCCAGGCTCTCTAGAGATGATTTTCCACATAATTTCTATAAACCCCACCCCTCCCCACCCCTTCCCAACTCCCCAGTGTAACAGGAACTGCTCCGAAGACTAATTAGCCAAAGAAAACTTTAGCTGAAGCCTGCTAAGTCCATTCAACCTTGTGGCTACAGAGCTGGATAGGGTTTGACTCTGTCCTCCAGACCTGGGTTCGAGTCCCAAGCCTGCATCTTTCTCACTGTGTGACTGCAGGCAGATCATCCCACATCTCTGAGCTCCAGGTTCCTTCTCATCAAATGGGCCACAAAGGGTGACCCGGGGTTTCCTTGAGAAAATGTGCAAAGTGGGGAGCATGGGCCTTGCTTACTGCAGGTGTTTAATAAATGTTGGCTCTTACCATGACTGCTCCCCATTTTAGTGGTAAAATATCTCATAAGGGGGTAGACATTGTTTATCACCCAATAAAGGTGGTGGGGACAACTCCTGAAGGCAGTGGATCTGGTGATGTGAGTAGAGAAAGGGATCAGCTAACAGGTGAAAAGGGAGACCCCCAAGAAGCAGGGGAAGGGATAACGGCAAATGGAGAGGGAGTGAAAAGGAGGTCCAGACATGCCTGCTAAACATGCACATGTGTGTGCACGCATGCATACGTGCCCTTCACAGGACCCTCGAGTGCTCGATACTGCTCTCCATACCTACGCGCTGGGCGTCCCTCCTGATGGCTTCTTTGTCATGCCAATCCTTCAGCTTTTGCCCATCTCCCACGAAAAATATCTTCTTCTGCTGATTGTGGGAGCCCTTAAAAAAAGATAAAAACAGTGAAAACGAAGGAAAGGGAAAATAAGTTGAGTAACAGAGACCCGTAAATTGCACTATCTATGGGAGCTTTTGTCTGTCATCATCTGCTTATTTATGAATTCCCTCAATCTACGTTTGTTAGAGCTGCCGTATGCCAGTCAGGTGGGCAAAGGTCAGAAGGATGACAGGTACACACTGTCCACCCTCCTGGTACTCAGAAACTAGCGGGAGAGAAAACAGATGGACAGACAGTCCTTTCCCCCAAGGGAGAAAGCAATAAGTGTAGCTCCATCCAATAGAAATATGGGAGCCACAAATGTGAGCCACATGTGTAACTTTAAATTTTCTAGTATTCACACACAAAAAAATAAAAATAAAAAACAGATGAATCAGTTTTGATAATATATTTTACTTAACCCAGTATATTCTATCTAAAATATTATCGTTTCAATACACGGTATAAAAAATCACTGAGATATTTTACATACTTTTTTTTTGTACTAAGCCTTTGAAATCCTTTTCTTTTTTGAAGATTTTATTAATTTATTTGTCAGAGGGAGAGACAGAGAGAGTGAGCACAAGCAGGGGGAGGCAGGGAGAGGGAGAGGCAGGCTCCCTGGGGCTCGATCCCAGGACCCTGGGATCATGAACCTGAGCCACCCAGGCATCCCCTAAGCCTTTGAAATCCAGTATGTATTTTACACTTGTATTCATCTCAGTTCAGACCTTTCCAGGTGGCTCATGGCTACATACTGGGCAGGGCAGGTAAGTGAACCTCAAATCAGTGGCCTGGAGAAAGGGCTATAGGAGTTGATTTTCACTTGGGAGAATGGGGGAAAATTTCACAGACTTAAGAGCATTTGGGCTAAGCTTCAGGTAAGCAGAAATGAGAGGCAGGGCAAGACTCCCAGGTGCAGTGGAGAGTGGCAGAGCTGGGCTGGGCCTGAGGAGCTCTGAGTCCAGGAGCAGAAGTTGGGTCTTGGTCACTTCTATAGTCCAAGTGGCTCAGTCCCAAAGAGGGTGAACATTCGGCCATTGTGTGTGGAATGTATGAACAAGCAATTGGATGGCTGAAAGAATATGGGAATATACAGCAGTCACAAGAGAGCAGTTCCCAGGGGCTGGGCTCTGAAGGCATTTATTGTGTCTGGGAGGTAAGTCCATCCTGGTGGGCCTCTTAGGAAGCCCTATAAGGGCCTATTAATCCCTAATTAAAGGAATTTCATTCCAGTATCTGGGGTCATCAGAAGGCGCCAGATGCTTCCCCATGCCAAGAGTCAAGTCTAAAGACTTGGCCCGGGGGCTCAGTTAGAGCCTTCCCCAGGTAACACTGCACCACACAGCTGTTTAAAGATCTTCCTGTGTTCATGCAAATGAGAATGGCTTTCCACATCACCTTGCCCATTAAAAATCCTGTAGACTTATTCTTGCCACTGTGGCATGCAAGATCCAATAGTCCTATTTCCTATGTAATTAGCTACGAAAGCCCTGAGCATGTGGCATGCTGCAACATTAGCACTAACAAGAAGCCACCAGAATAAAATCATCCCCAAGCCTGTTTATTAAGTCTCTGGCTGATCCTTGTGTTGGCAGATTTTCCACAACGGCTCAATATCTTTACATCAGCTCTAATGATAATAACAATCCTTGGCGTTCCCTCTCCTACAGACCTCTCTGAGCTGTGAGGAGAAAGTTCTGAAAGTTAGCATGCCAGATGTGTTGGTCAGAGAGGGAAAGAAAACTGAAAACAAAGCCCACATGCCTACGAACAGTTCGCGGGGTTCTCAGAAATCACAGAAGCTGAGCTGGAAGATCCTCCAGCAAGTTTCAACTGTGTGTTCAGCTACATTTCTATGGGAGACACTCAGCACTGCCTTGGGAGGAGGGGTGCTGAGAGTGGGAGCTCAACCCCCTTTCAACCAGACCAGCAAGGCATCTGTTTTTTTTTTTTTTTTTTTAAGATTTTATTTATTTATTTGACAGAAAGAGACACAGCGAAAGAGGGAACACAGGCAGGGGGAGTGGGAGAGGGAGAAGCAGGCTTCCCGCTGAGCAGGGAGCCCGATGCGGGGCTCGATCCCAGGACCCTGGGATCATGACTCCAGCCGAAGGCAGACGCTCAACGACTGAGCCACCCAGGCACCCCAAGGTATCTGTTTTTTGAACCACGGTTCCATGTGGATTTCATTTTAAAAAGGCCCTTGGCTAAAAACAAATTGACAATCAAATCTCCAAACAAGTGAATAAATATACTTGGAAACTGACTGGGGCCACTTTCCTATTTCACACACAGAGCAGCTGAGCCCTGGGGTGGGTCAGGGACCTGCCCAAGGCAAAAGCCTCCATTGCTAAGATGTCAAGAGGGATGGGTCAATGGCTGTTTAGCAATCTTTTCTCCAGCCCCACCTCCCAATTCCTTTTCCCTCTTCTGCTACCCAAAGACTGGGAACTTTAGTTGACTGCTTAGGTCACTGGTGGAATGAAGAAGCTCGGCAAGCTGAGGCTACCTTAATGGAAGGAGCCCATCTAAAGAGGTTCTCAAAGTGTGAGCAGCACTGCCCTACCTGGGACCTCATTAGAAATGTTAATTCCTGGGGCGCCTGGGTGGCTCAGTCAGTTAAGTGTCTGCCTTCAGCTCAGGTCATGATCTCAGGGTCCTGGGATTGGCCCCTGCGCTCGGGCTCCCCGCTCCCCGGGGTCTGCTTCGCCCTCTCTCCACTCATGTGCTCTGTCTCACTCTCAAATAAATAAATAAATAAAATCTTAAAAAAAAAAAGAAATGTTAATTCCTGGGCCCTGCCCCAGTCCTCCTAAGGCAGAAACTCTGGGGATGAGGCCCTACAATTGGTATTTTAACAAGTCCTCCAAGAGATTCTGATGCACACTCAGGTTTGAGAACTACTGGTCTAGAATGAAGAAGTCCATAATCCTGCCTGCTTGGGTGCTGGTCAGACCAAACCTGGGCTCTAGTATCTAAGTTGAACAGATAGTTACCATCAAAGGTCACAAAAACCTTAGGTATGGTCGCTGGCAAAAATAAGCTGGTGGCTCTTGAGGTTTTATTTTGTTTTGCTTTGTTTTTTTAATTTCCAGTGTGGGAAAAAAAAAGGGAGATTTCCTATTGTTAAGGGTCAGGTGACCCTTAAAGGACAATTTCAAGAGTCTAAAATCCCATGAAGGGCTTTGCTTCCTCCATTTGCTCATGAAAGTCTTCCCTCGATACTGGGAATGGGGCACGGGATTGAATATCACAGTTGTGACCTCATGGAAGGAGACTCCTTGAATCTTCTCAGAATGGACAGTGAATTGCTGAACTGACAGGGTAGAGAATTAAGGTTCTAAAATTCTGGGAGTTTCACACCCTCAGCTTCTACCACCTGCATTGCCTTTGCTTTCATGATATTTGACCCTCTGGAATGTTCTACAGAGATTTATGTTGTTTAAGTGGTTTCAATAGTCCTTCCATCTCCCTAAACTAACAGGATGTCAGAGCCTGCAGACACAGGGAGTTCTGCATGTCTAAGCACATAGTTATAGAGGAACCTCAAATATCCAAGCTAAACAGCTGCTCAGAATCTATGAGTCCACTCCTCTCCCATCTTACAGTTGGGGAAGCTGAGGCCCAAAGAGGCCAAGCTACCCAACCAAGGCCACATAAGCAGGCAAGAGGACAGAAGCCATGTTCTTTGATTCCCAGGCTAGTTTTCAGCGAAGAGAGCCCTTGCAGTGTGACCTTGGACAAGCTACATGAGTCACAAGTGCCCTAGTCTTCCCACCTGGAAAATGGAGATAGCACTACCAACTCAATAGGTACTTTCAGAGGAATTGAGAAAAATCACAAAAGCAGAATGTATCCTGAACACTTCCAGAATCTACACATAAAATGTGGACATTAACTCCTTTAGGATTTTAAGAATCTACTGTAAACTGACATCTCATCAAATCACCTTGATACAGAACTCAAATTTTGCTACACGGGTTAAAAAGCTTTCCAATTAAAGGTCTGAGCTTTTGGTAGGAGAAAATTTAGGTTTCAATCCTAAAATCACAGAGCTTTCAGTGCCCAAAGGACCCTTCGAATCCTACCCACAAACCTTAACAAAAAGTGGTATTTCAGGTGGTTCAGGACTTCTGAGGTCCATCCATGGAAACCCCATAGATAGATCATCCAAACTTATTACCAAATGTTTATCAAGACCTACCCCATTCCAGGCACTGTGCTAGGAACTGGGGATGCAGGCATGACAACACAGATCCTGTATAAGTGTTAATGGGGTTTACAGCCAAATCGGTATTTCTCAAAGGGTGGTTTTTGGGAGCCCTGGGCCCTCATTATAGATGTAATTTCCTGGCCCCACCTTGAACCTATTAAATCAAAGTGCCTGGGGGGTGGAAAGCCAAAATATGTTTTTAAACACATTCCCCAAGTGATTCTGATTCACAGTAAACCTGGAAAAACCACTTGTCTAAATCCAGCTGCCTCGATTTACAGATATGACATCTGAAGTTAAGAGAATAGAACAGATTTGCCCGAAATCCCAGAGCTTGCCAGCCCCAAAGATCAAACCAGATCTGGCTGTTCTCTCCCTGGGATAGACTGAGCTTCTGGAAGGCAGGGGCATCTCTTGTTTTGGGCATTTGGCCTATTCCTAGGCTAATACCTGGCCCATCTTAGGCCCTCAATAAATATCAGCTGAATGAGTGAATGGCTGCTCATCAATGGGGCAGGCAGTCTAGTTTAATGACTCAGAGCACTCTGGTTTCAGAGTTGGAAAAAACCTAGGTTTCACTTCCAGGGCAGGTGCACCCCAATTTCCTTGACTGATTAACAGGGAAAACTAACAGAATAACCATAACCTGTGGGTTGTTGGGAAAACGAACTGAGCGAATCAACACAAAGCATCTAGCTCAGTGTCCGGCATAAAGTTAGGTCTTCTCAGTAAAAGGGGTCTATTAATACATTATTTTTAGAGAAAGCTTATGATCCAGTGCTTATGATG